AAAAAAAATTCAAAAGAGATATAACTCAGTGGTAGCATGCCCAGGTTCAATTCCCAGTATTGCAATTAATTAATTAATTAATTAAAATGAAAGGTATTGAGGGCTGGGGTTGTAGCTCAGTGATAGGGCAGAATGTGAAACTCTGCGTAGAAAACCCCAACATTAAAAAAAAATAACCTCCCAACTTTGTCCCTTTATGCCCATCCCCAAGGAAAAGGAGCATTTATGTATAGGAGAGACTCCCAGAAATTGGGATGCCCTCCAAGGTAGTGAGGACCTGGCTGATGGAGCAGAGAGGGAAACCAGGGGAGCAGAGAAGGAGTTCTGAGCAGCAGTGCCCAAGGGTGCTCCCTAATGTTCTTTTACCAGGATTTGACTCTCCCAGGAATGCCAAAAGGGCCTGCCTCAGGGGGTGGGAAACAGCTGAGACCAGACACCAATGGAATAGGGAAAAACCCAGTCCCTTTCAGAACACATCCGCCCCCTCAGAAACCCCTCCTGCAGCTGTGGGGAGGAAAAGGAAGGTCCTCACCACATGCTAATAGCTCATATGACTGGTGGTATGTGTCAGGCTCTGTGATGGACCGCAGAGCACACGGTGCACAGCAGCACTGTCCAGCCTGCCCCAGAGAGGGTGGCCACTGAGGCAGAATGGCACACCTGGCACCTGAGGATGTGTCTGAGGAGAGGTGGATGTATGTGTGTGCGTATGTGTACTTGTGTATGCACACCACCATCCCCAGCACTTTGTGATCTGTTAGGGGTGTCATGGGAGGTGAGTGTCCATGTCGCAGCCCACTCAGAGGATAAATGGATCCTGTGGCCCAAGGGGTGCCTGTGAAAGCTCTTACCTTTTGCCACCACAGGGAATGATGGGCCATTTTCAGAAAAATCATCATGGGTCATGGCAACAGATTCTACAAGTATTTCCTTTTTGAGGTTCACTGTTTCCTAAGGCGTCCCTGCAGCTGTTAACGGTCCTTGCTTGATTAAAGTTTCCAACAGCCCAGTCCCCTCCCCTGGGCACCCTGGCATGGCCTCCCCCAGATACAGACAGTGGCGTGTGCTGGTGACTCCCTGGGGGCCTCCAGGGGCCTGTGATAGTGGGAAGCTACAGAGCAGCTGGTGCCAGGGTGGGTGGGGACAGTCAGGGCACTGCCTCTATGGGGTACAGGGGTGACAGTAGTCAGCATGTGAGTAAATTCTATTTATAGGAATTCCAAAAACTGTAGAAAATGTCCTAGTTTTCAGAACCACTGCACAGGTAAACATGACCTGGATGCCAGGTAAAATGACAAAGTCAAGCTTTCAGTATGCACTCAAAAAAGAAAATGGGCATGCAGTCTAACATGACCCTTGAAGAGGCTTAAAAAGGGGTTACCCAAGTGGAGCTGGGCTGGGCTAAGCTGTCCATCCACATCTCCACATCTTCATCAGACTTGGTCTGTACATCTCTCCTCCGTAGCTGTTTTGATGACAGTTACATATTTCAAGACATTCTGCATTCCATTCCTTCTTATAGTACTTTGTGGTCCTTTTGAGTGAATAGAGTAAAAGAAGGGAATTCTTGCCCTTCTCTAGGTATGTCAAATAGGCCTTTGCAATACTCACATTCACATTACCTTTCTAGGCTGGACATCAGACATGATGCCTGTGACTTGGAGGTGCACTCCTACTGTCCAAGTTTCAGTAACAGTGTTTTTTTTTTAAATTCTGTTTTCAGTTGTAGATGAACACAATACATTTATTTTGTTTAATTATTTTTACGTGGTGCTGAGGATCAAACCTAGTGCCTCACACATGCTAGGCAAGTGCTCTACCACTGAGCCAAAACCCCAGCCCCAACAGTGAGTTTTCTTTTTTTTTTTTTTTAAGAGCTGAGGGGTCAGTGTTGTGTGTTTCAACCTTTCAAGGACCATAATGTCATCATCTGAGATCTGGGAGGACCAACACCAAAGTCTACTTCTTGCTGTCTCTTGGTTGTTCCACTGCTTATTGTGGGAAACAGGTTGTGAAGGTCTATAAGGGGAGGGGGCCCAACTGTGAGGGCATGGGGTGGGATGGCATGGGGAAGGGCTCCTCTCTGTCAACTTTGATAAAGTCTAGTCAGCATCAGGAAGTCAGGAGATTCTCCTAAGACTCTGAAAGTCAGGTTATACTTCATCTTTACTGTAACTCACTGGCTTCTAGAAAACCCGAGTCAGGTGACAGGGTAGACAGAATAATGACCTCCCTAAAACATTCACACTCTAAACCTTGGAACTGGCAAATACATTACTTTACCTGATAAAATGTAGATGTGACTTATGTGAAGGTCTGTTAAACGGGAGGTCATCCTGTTTAATTCTTGCAGGCCCAGTCTAAACACAGTTTCTTTTTTTTTTTTTTAATTTATTTTTAGATGTTGATGAATCTTTATTTTATTCATTTCTTTATATGTGGTGCTGAGAATTGAACCCAGTGCCTCACACATGCTAGGCAAGCACTCTACCACTGAGCCACATCCTCACATAGGTTCTTAAAAGGGAGAACCTTTAAATGAGAAATTATACCCCAATGATTCAAAAGTATGAATTGCCAAGATCATTGTAATGTCTTGTGTAGCTATTAAAAAATAAATTAATTTAAAAAAAAAAAGGGAGAACCTTTTCCGGCCATGGGAAGAGAGATTCAAGGAGGGAAGATTCAAGGATTACAGAGGTACAACATGAAGACTCAAGCCACAGTTGCTGACTTTGAAAGTGGAGAAAAGGGATCATTAGCCAAGGAGTCCAGGCAACCTCTAGAAGATGGAAAAGCAAATAAACAGAAAGGAACCCAGCCCTGCTGTCACCTTAATTTTAGTTGTAGACCTGCATCAGACTTCTAACCTGTAAGATAATACATTTTTAATGGTTTAAGCCATGAAGTTTGTAGTGCCAAAATTGAACAAACATGATTCTATGGTTGAAATGGCCAGTCCCTACCACAGGTGTGGCAATTTCCCGTCTCTAAAATGCAAGATGTCCAGACCTCAATCAAGAGTATGACTGCAGCTGGGTGCGGTGGTGCATGCCTGTAGTCTTAGCAACTCAGGAGGATCAAGAGTTCAAAGCCAGCTTCAGCAAAGGCAAGGTGTTCAACAACTCAGTGAGACCCTGTCTCTAAATAAAATACAAGATAGGGCTGGAGATGCAGCTCAGAGGTTGAGTTCCCCTGAGTTCAATCCTTGGTCCCCCACCCCCAGCCTAAAAAAAAAGTGGGAGTATGATTGCTAGAGACAGGAGATGTAACCTTGAGCAAAGGCCTCTTTTAAAACATCAGCCACAATAGCTTCAGAGTCAGGAAGGAGAACTACAGGCCATCTGATAGTACCATCAAGGGGACTTGTGATTCTTTGATCCCTGAAACTTAAGAGCACTGGGAGGGCTCTGGTGACTTGCCCCAGGCCTCTCCTTAGTCCTGTCTTGAATAGTGACACAGATAATAATCTTATATACTGATGGCACAGAGCTGAGAAGAAAAGCAAATACCTTGCTTCAAAAGGCAAACTCAAGATTCAAGCATTGCCACAGGCAAAACGATGGCTCCTATCTGCAGAATGAAGTGTCATAAAGGAAAGGACAGTGGGGCGCACAGTGGTGCACTCCTGTGATCCCAGCGACTGGGAAGGCTGAGGCAGGAAGGTGGCAAGTTTAAGACCAACCTCAACAACTTAGTGAGACCCTGTTTAAAAAAAGACTGGGCATGTAGCTCAGTGGTAGAATGTTCGAGTTTCAATCCCAGTACTGCAAAAAATTAAAAAACAAAAACAAAGGATAAGAGCTAGCATTTATTTATTTAAACAAAATTAGGGGTTCAAAAAATAAGTTACATGAGCATAAGCTAAAGGGAAAGCTTTGGCCTAACAGATTATGAACAAAAATTCAAAGTGAAAGGCA